CCCCAAAACCCCAAAACCCCATTTCCAAACTTTAATTCTAATATTAAAGATTTGAGATTATTTAAAATAATACTTATAAACTTGTAAAAAATGAAACATCATTGCTCAGACTATTTTAATATATATGATTAGGAGGAGTCTCTTTAAAACGAGCTAAGAATGATGTATTCTGTTCGATTGTCATTTGGTGTGATACTTACACTTTTCATATTTTACTAATTGCTCTCCTCTATAATTCACTCACCACGAAAAGATAAATTGACACTCGGCATTCAAATTTGCATGTTTACTATATTTCTATGTAAAAAGAATTTGAATTCTAACTATTGTAGCAAAGACACTGAGAGATTTTACAGCAACATATAGAGAGAAAAATCACAATTCTTATAGTATTTTTGCTATTTGGCTGTAAAATATTTCAGATATGGCTTTTGCTATTGGACAATTTCTCTTAATTTTTTTATGGTAAATAAAAATAAAGATTAAACTAAATTCAAGGATTGACATTAGAGTGATGATGAAATATAGAACCCCTGTTGGTGATATTTCATATGAAAATTAAAAAAGAGGATTTAACTTGTTTGAGAAAAAACTTAGAATAGTGCTATGGGTGGTGATATCTATTTTAGTATTGATTTACATCGCAAATGCTTGGTAAATGTCTGTATCCTGCAACGAAAATTTTGATACAGCAGTAAAATATGGTGATTGTCTTGTGATTTTCATGGTCAATCCAGTCATTTCTTATCTATTTATTAAGAATGCGAAGAGATATAGAAGTGATGCTTGGGAATCTCTCAGATCATATGTAATAAATTTCAAATCAAAAGTCGATAAACAATTAAAAAATAGACTCTATCAGTTATGATTGTGAATCAAGTTAGTTTTGTCATGAAAATATTAAGATAATACTTTGCTCCAGAAAGATATCTAAATGAAGACCGCTTTGATGAAAAAATCAACCTACATTATATTAAATTCACTTTATTTCTTGTGCTGCTTTTAAACTAGCTAGTTATATGGCTGCTTTCTATGTATGTTCCAGATGCATTCTTTTATTATAATGACCAAGGTATTTTATAATTTCTCACTTTTAATTCTATTAATTGCAAATAGATCAAAGATAGTTTTCAATTTTTTAGATGAAAAAATAAAAGCATTGTCTAAGTATGAATGCTATGTCGGTAGATCTAGGATAATTCAGTACACATGCGTTTAGCTAGAATTTAGATTATGAGAGTAATGGTGCTTTTATGGATACACAAGGTAAATCAAGAATGGCCTCTGCTTATTGAAAATCAGAGTTTACACGATAAGATTTTCCGAAAAATTAATTATTATTAATTTGGATGAACTCAATTGACTGATCTTTTCTATAATGATTATCCAAAATAGTAATTGATTTTATTTTTTCAATGCTAATTCAATTTAAAATCTAAATAGACGGGGTTTTGGGGTTTTGGGG